TCAGTTGAGCAGTCGCTATAGTTAGTCCGTTGAGCAGTCGCTATAGTTAGTCAGCTGGGTAGTCGTTATAGTTAGTCAATTGAGCAGCAATTATAGTCAGCCAGTCGAGCCCCTATTATAGTAATCAGTTGAGCATCAATTATAGTTATCCAGTCGAGTAGAAGTTATAGACAATCCTGAGCAGCGGTTATAGGCAGTCAGCTAAGTACCAGCTATAGATAGTTTGCCGAGTTAAGTATTTTGTTGGATGAATGTTTAATCAGTTTGTATAATGTTCATCATCATATCGTTTCTGCCTATCCAGTAAATACTTGCTTATATACCGATGTCATGATATGTTATTATGTTAGCTGTATATTTCAGTGCTGGTTCCGGCGGAGCACGTAGATTATTTATGCTCACGCCCCCACTAACCATTTTTCAGGTGACGGTGTCGAGCGTAGAGCGTGAGCCGATGATGTGGTGGTGGTCGTAGCAAGGATATTTTTAGTAAACATGACATGTATATTTTAGCATGATTGAGTTATTATGCTTTGTTGATGCATACTTACACTTGCTTCCGCACTCAGTATTTCAGTAGCTAGAATTTCAGTTTATGCATGCTTAAATCCTGAGATGTTTAGAGCAATGAATTATTCTTGGTTGCATACCTAGTTGTTTAAAGATATTAAAGATCAAAGATTTAAGATTTAAGTTGAGTAGCATCCCGCATATTAAAGTTAAAGTATTTTCGAAAAATTAATATGAGTTTTCGAAAATTAAAACAGAGTTTTCCCTTTTATAGCGCGAAAAATTTACTCTGATTTTAGTAAGTTTAGGGGGGTGTTACAGTTGGTATCAGAGCCACTTAGTGGTTCTGTATACTAAAATTTTAGAGAGATATGATCACACCACGCTCACGCCACGCCGACTCCGAGGTACGTTACCTGTGCAACTTTTATTAATTGCGAATGCATATGTAATTATAGTCAGATTATTTCTGGGGCGTACGATCTATCCTTCGATTAAGATTTGAGAATTCTAGCCAGAACTTAGAAGATTTTAGTGTAACCGGAACTCTAGCCAAGCTAGGTGTTTTTGGAAT